TCTTGGTCTCGGGTTAGGTGGTCTTGAACACAACACTGGTTTCTCTTACAGAGAACAACTTCAGTGTCTCCTTCTGAGAACCACTTAGGTCTCTCTCACGAAGGACCTTCTTCTCTCTTGGCCTCTTTTTATTCTTATTCTTTATTTCTATAGCGCTTTTCACAGAGATCCCAATCTCTCTTCGCAGATTCAGCTGGCTTAATGTTAAATTCATGGCCTCCTGCCGTATCTAACAAATCGTGATATATTATTAATTAGTCAGCTCACGAAAGTGGCTGCTCAGAAGAGCTACACCAGGCTTGCTGATATGCGGTAACTTATAACGCGGAATAAAAATTCCTAAATGTTACCATCGCCAATATTACAACCCCACCTTGCGCAAGGTACTGTTTGTCAGTGAGCAGGAAAGAACTTCATTTCTTTTTAGCTCTTCAAACTGGCAGCAGACAGGAAACCGTTGTATAATTTAATAAGTAAGAGATAAGAGATAAGTTCTTACCTCTTTTGTGTATCTTGGCCCGGTTCCCTGTTTTGCAGCCAGTCTGGAGAGAGTCACCTTTCCTTCCTCTTTAACTTGAATCGGCTCAATCGGCACGTCGGGTGTCATATAATACAATTATACTAAAAGGCATGTTGTTGGTTGATTCACATTAAGATATGTTTTGACTGAAAAGAAATGTACTGTGTCAAATGTACTGGGTCAATCTGACCTAGAAGTCAGAAAGGAACTCAGAATGGAGAGATGTGGAAGAAGCAATCACTAAAGAGGGAAAGGTTAAGTTGTTGTGCAAGAAACTTCTGGTAAACGTCTTTCCCTGCTTGCATGTGAAGAAGTCGGCCAAGACTGGGAAAGAATCTTTGTTTGGATAGATAAGAAACCAACTGTCACGATCTGTGTTTGTGTGTTTGTTTTTTGAGTTTTTCTGTGTAGTGCTGTTCCCTGTGAGTCTCTGTCCTGTCCTCCCCGTTGATTGTCTCCCAGGTGTGTCTCGTCCCCTTGATTACCCCGTGTGTATTTAAGTCCACCTGTAGTCTCCGTCTCTTGTCAGATCCTCATCGTTGTTAGCGTCATTCGTCGTGTCTATTGTTGTCTGTCGTAGTCAGTGTCGTCTGCATCAGTCTGTCCGTCGTCGCAGTGGAACTGCTAAGTCCTGTGTCGGCGTCAGCTCAAGAGTTTCAGTCCGTTATCCAGTTGCTACCGGTGTTAGCTGTGTGCTTCCTTCTGCCGTGCTGCCTGTTGGACTGTGAGCTGCATCAATAAATTCTTTATCATTATCACCTTCATACCTGGGTCTCCGCGTTCTATCCTCACCACCAACCACACATCATGACACCAACAACTTGACTAATAGTTCTTCTGATGGAGCAGATTTAATTTCCAGGAAGTCAACCCCTAATTCTCTGAACTTCCAACACACATCCAGTGTAAGACGGAGCCAGAAGTGCTACGCAAGTGTTAAGGAAGAAATATCTAAAATAGGTTAACTTTGGAAAAAAGTTTGGCTCTCTCTTCCTCTGGATCCCAGGTCCTCTCGGTGGGCCACGTGTAGCCACAAAGAAAACAACAATGCGTGTTAACGTCACAGAATTACAGAGTTTAATCCAATATAAGACAGTGCATAAACTTAGAAGTAAGACAATGCACAAACTTACACCAGAAACTGCAGAACAACGGAGACATACATTCATTTACCTGACATAAATGGAAAGAAGAAGAAAAGCAAAGACATGCAAAGACACCTTTGGAGAGTTGCAGGAGCAAATCTGATCTGTTACTCCATGTAGAAAGTTTTATAGTTAAGGCGTATTTTTATCTTTAATTTATTCAAATAAGGCGTATCTTTGCTCCTCCAACCAGGAGCTCTCTTACCCTCTCTCAAGCCAGAAACCCCTGCCGTGTTTACGGCTTTTCGCAGATGAGTGTGAAAAGCTGGAACTTCCACTGTATTGTTTTCCCACAGACAAAAGGCAGTTCAAACGATCCTAGCAAACCATCTGCTGTAACTACAGGTAAAATAACGGTCAATAGACCAGAATCCATTAGTAAATTCAAAACCACAATTAGGCTATTTGAATCAAGACATGTTAAGTTTTAAAACTAGCTTATTTTAAATTTATTTTCTCAACACAAGCAAGGTCCAGTAATGCCATTGGTAAAAGCTTTTCAATACACAACAGTAGGACTGAAACTGTATAAAAACTTGATGTCAGAAGTAAGAGGCAAGACATTTTGGATTCTGAGACGATGAAAATGTAATGTGTGAATCCGCAGATGTGCATTAAATGTATTCCTGGTTGTCTGTGAGCCGGAGAGAATGAAGTTTTGTGTATCGGTTCTTTATTTATATATTTCATGAGTTTAGCACCTTTTAATTCCTCCATAACATAAAGGTTCACACTGACAGAATTGAGCATAAAATGATTTAGAATCATGGAAGATCTAGATTTTTCAATTAATTGCATTTAACCAAGAGGTTTAATTTTAAAAATGTTTCCATTTGGCCCAATTTCTGTTTTAAAACTGGCTTATTTTAAGTTTTATGTGTAAAACAATCCAGACACACAAACATTGCTGCTTGCTTCTTATTTATTATCACAGAGCAGGAGAGAAACTGACTACAGTAGCAAAATATCACCAAAGATTTAAAGCACAATCAACTGGATTATATTTAGATGTAATAATATCAATTTTTGACTCGTGTTTGAAGCCAAAAGTTGATGATTGATTACAAGAAAAAGCAACTCATCATTTTTTGCTGGATGTTTGACCTGCAGATTTACTTGGCAGGACGAATCTTCATGCTGAAGCTCTTCAGGGAGTAATCATATCCCTTCCAGTTATACCATTCCACTCCAACAGCAAAGAGAGTCTTGTCAGCCCCCCAGCGATAAACCCCATTAGGGTTTGTATGGTGACAAGTATTGTACCAGAAAGCACCCAGATATGTTTTGGCACAGTTGCCGCTCCACTTGTCCTGGTCTTTGTCAAAGGTTGTAAATTTCTCTCTGTTGTGAGAGGCAAGGCTGTCTCCTGCAGAAATCATTACAGGACATGAAAACTATATGAATAAAAATAGACACTGAGTTGAAAACTTAAATAATGAAAAAAAAACCTGTATCATCAGACAAGAATAAAATAGTAATTTTTACATATTAAAAAAAATACTGATTTTGTAAAAAGTTCTTTATGTTTTGTGAAATAAATCAGAAGAAGTTATGTTGTTCTCTTTCTAGGCTATTAGCAGTGAGATCAATTAAATTAACTTTGATCAGGTTTTTTGCTGTGAACTGCCAACATCAATCTGTTTGTTCAGAACCATAAGAACAAACTCTGGGCATAGATATCACTGACACAACACATTTAATCCAATGGAAGTGGTTTCTTATGAATCCTGAATGGTCTAATTATAGCAAATTAGCTTTATTAATATAGTTATTATGCATCTGCACTAACACAGGAGTCCCTCAGGGATCCATGCTCAGTGCCTTGAATCCATCCATCCATCCATCCATCCATCCATCCATCCATCTAGTAAAGTTAGGATGAGGTTTTCTCATGACTCACCAGCGCCCCCTTTGTTGTTGAAACCACTCACATGCAGCATGTAACCGTCACACTCAGCATCAACTTTAAATGAGGAGTAAAGGGCAAACTTTTTGTTTCCTTCAAAGTCCTCCATGTCGACCATCAGTTCATGGTCCTGAAGTCGTGTCAACTCATGGATGTTATCAAGACCTGCACAGACATGAAAACCATTAAAATTGGATTTTTACTGAGACTTTCACACACTAAGTACTTAGTTGGGTCTCCTTCTGCTCAGATTACTGCAGCAATGCAGAGTGGCATGGAGTCAATCAGTCTGTGGCTTTGCTCAGGTGATATGAGAGCCCAGATTTTTCTGATAGTGACCTTCAGCTCTTCTGAATTGTTGGGTCTTCACTATTGTGTCTTCCTCTTCATGATACCCCAGAGATGTTCTATGACTTTAAGGTCAGGTGAGTTTGCTGGCCAATTAAGATCAGGTACCCCCTGATCCTGTCATGAAGTGGGGTTGTAGGTGGTGAGGAGAGACGCT